CTTCTTTGTCTGGCATGACAGAACTTGACCTAAACTTTGTATTTTAGTCTGGTCTGACATCTCTTTGGAAGAATAGCAGTGTCCACTTCCCAGCCAGTGTAAAAGTAATACTCAACACAGAGATATTTCCTATTATTTATTATGGCACTTTAAAGCATATAAACTCCATTTCTAGCCAGTTCTAAAAAAAAATGATGCTTTAAATTTTAGGCAATAGTTCAATAGAGTTTGGTTAAGAGTTTTCAGAAAGCTACTAGGCAGGAAATAAGAATTTTGCTAGGAAACAAAGAGCGTTCTCAAAATAAGGCTTCTTTTCAGCAAAGCACTTATGTGTTTCTTAAGTTAATCATGCCAGTTGGATCACTAGTATGCATATTTTTTTCAGGTAGGAAATTTCTGGATTTGAAACATGAAAAAGAAAAGCAAACCTACCTCTGAAAATGCATTCCTTTATTTAAATACCAACCAAGCTTATCTCCTACCTATGCCCACCCAGTTCTAGTTACTTTGTAGGCTGCAAGTTAGAAACAACTCCAGAGGTGGAACTCTGAATGGCTTTCCTGTTCCAGAGTTTACTACTTTATCAATTAAAGATGGGAAGGTTGGTCAAAATTCAGTTTGCCATTAACCATCCCTTACCTTCAGGGAGAAGATATAGTGCTATCTTGAACTGAAACCAGTAAAGTGTAAAACCAAACTGAGTTTTTATAAAACCTCACTTTAAAATTCCACTATAGTAACAACATTTCCACTTCATATATTTGAAAATTTTATTTAATAGCCTCAATAGATCAGAATAGTTACATAATAGTTACATCACGGCTTTTAAAAAGGATTGCACTCAGCTACTCAGTCCATTGAAATACTAGAAAACAGGGAAAAGGAAAAAATGGAGTGTAAAGGAGCTCTGTCCACTGAACTGAGTTGTTTGTCGCAAGTTCCTACTGAATATGAAGGCCTGTCCTCATGCCTTCTGGTAGACTCTAACACACTTAACACCGTTCATGTCACACTCCTAGAAGATACAGAAATGAATTCATTAATTTGCATCAATATAGAACGTAAGAGAAGAGGCTGCAGGTAAAGATCTTAGAGTTACATGTCAAGCTACCAGCTAGCAGCATTCGACGAACAGAAAGCAAGCTGAACTCACCACCACCAATTGTCCATCCACTAGTTTCCGCGTTATTATGGTCTTCTTGCCATCCCACTCCTGTTCCTGAATCAATGATCCATCATCTTTTAAGTTGACAAGGGTCTGGAAAAGGAACCAGAACATTAGTATTTTACCCATGGCGCTTGATGAATGAAGGCTGATGCTTTCTAACACCTTACCTCAAAGGAAAAATTCCCACCTCAGCTCACTCAATAGTAATTTTGCCATTGATTTCTACAAAGCCAGGATTTTATCCCAAATTTTTCATTGATCCTGTTCTTACATTATCTCACTGCTTGTTCAGTCACTGCTCTGACACAAGCCTGGATGAAGCAGACCTTTGACAGCATGCACAATTTCAATTAACAAGAGCAGACGATGTTCTCTATTCACCTCTTTGTATTTGGGCTTCGAGCTTTTGTGTCACATTTATCTGATCTTACAATAATAAATGGATTGCCAGTGTGTGACCGAAAGAGGGGAATGCTACACAGATAGCATTCACAGTAGGAGGTGAAAAGAGATGTTTGAGGGTTTCCTTGTGTTTAACCTCCTCTTGCATGAATATTCTCCCTACTCAAGGCAGGGAGAAGCTCTTTGCCTTCTAAACGGGAGACTGGGGACCATGATTCACATTTATGCCGTATGTATAAGTTTTCCGACTGCACACTGAAATAGACTCTCTTGTTATGCAAATATGAGGGACTGAGCAGTAAGGTTTACTGCAGGGCTGAATTGCCTCTGATTAAACATCAATGGGATTTTTCCATTGTCTTCAAATAAAGCGGAATTTGGCCTTTAACACGGATTTAGAAGTCTGTTAGTTTTATTAGCACAATGCTTGTCTTATATTATTAGTTTCAGCTTTTTCCCTATTTGCAGATTGCTTAGTCCAGAGAAACAAATTGATTTCAATGAGACTTACAGTGGCAGCTGTCCATCAAACAAAGCATTGTTAATGCAGGTGTCAAAACTATTTTTGAAAATACTATCTTTCAGTGAATCACCCAAAGGACTGGGTTTACTCAGTAGAAAGACTAGTACACTGACCTGAGTTTTTCTGCCATCTAATGTATTTTCTTCAAATTTCTCACCAAGCTTGAAGCTGAACTGTGAAGTTTTGAAGGTGCTTTCTGTTTTTACGGTGATTGTATCTCCGTCCTTAACAATGTAAACATCCGGTTTAGCCATACTTCCCATTTTTCTCATGGCCATACCCACACCTGCAAAGCAAAGGAAACAGTATTATAGTCAGTTAAACCCTAAGGCTTAGGTCAACATAAGAGTTCGAACATTTAATTCTCATTTAATTAGGTACTTAAGTACACTTGAGAACTAAAGCTCAAGAGCCACAGAGAAAGAGGATGTTTTTAATTATCCATTGATGGGAAAGGAAAAAACTTATTTGCAGGGTTATTGTCTTGCTTGGACAGAGCTAAAGTTAAATCTATTTTGCCCTCTAGAGGACTAGCAGCTCTCTCAAAATTCAGCACTGAATTTTTTAAAGAGAAATAAGCAATAATCAGGAAAGCAAACAAAAGCAGCAACCAATATAATTTTTCCCTTCAACTTTTGAACGCTTTAGAAATTCTGCAGACAATTTTTAGCTGACAGGTCAATCCACCTGCATATTTATTTCAGCTTACTCCAGATATCCCCCTCCTTAGTTCTGTATAGAATTTCGAATACGCTGTTTTTGAAATTTCATCTTCTACATCCCATACACAAAGTAAGGAATGCTGAATTAGAATACTCCTATCATGCAAAATAGTGTTCTCAGACAGCTTACACACACACGCATGCACAAGGAACTTGAGAGCAATGAGCTTTGCGACGTGACTCAGAATTCAGCACAGTAAGAGTATCATCTTGAGACAGCAGTCTTCAAAACTCTTCATCAGAAGAGTCACCCTGCTTCAGCCCCTACGTGTACTGTTCAAGTGCTTTGCCTCAGTCTTTTTGATCTGATAGATGAAGATATGAAGAAGAAAGTATTCAGGTAACAAGCTGGCATCCATCAGACTGGAAAGTGAAGATCTGAACTGAGAGCTGATGAGCAACCAAATGGAGCAGAAAGTGCCACCAAGTAAGTGAGCATCTGTGCTCTGCCGCTGGTGTAGTTAGAAAATACTGTCACATACAGCACAGCACAGCGCTCCCCTGGTGTGTGTAGGTTACTTTAGTGACAGCTGACTCCACAACACAAAGATCACAGTTTCCTCAGGGGTGTAAATGAGAAAATAGTGCCCATAACAAAAACCAGTCCTGCCCAGTTCAGGTTTTCTGACTGGAAATGGAAGTTATTGTCATGGCAACTCCCCCCCCCGGCCCTTTGCTGGTGTCCAGTGCAGAGTATTCAGTGAGTTATTTCATCAGCTACACCTTGCAATCTGACTAAACAGATACGAGCAGCCTATTTTTCCCAAGCCATGTATTTTTTCCCCATATGGCAAATAGTAACATTCAAAATTCTTCACTCTACCCTTGCAGATTCTTATATGCAGACTGAGCAGAATCTGCAGAATCTCATTTGTAGTGCATCTCGCTAGGATCAAAGGCAGAGATTTGTGTAAGTAGCCAGCAAGAGTGAGATGCAATAAAAAGGACAGGCTTCTAAAATGTAACTTGAGGTAGATTCAGTTGCCTAAATTGTAATTAAAAAAAAAAAGTGACTTTTGTTTGTTTTTAGATCCCAATCTTTAAAAAGTCAGCTGCTGCCTACATATGGGAGGTGCTCTGTGGCTGCAGCGCTTAATTTCTCCTTTGAAGCTGCAAAGCTGCTTCCTGGGCATGCGCCTCGTTCTGGCTCGTCAGACGTGAGTAGTGCGGCATCACCACATGGATGAGCTGAGCTGAGCTTTAAATAGTCTCACCCGTCCTCCATCAAAGTCTTCCGAAAGGCTCAGTCTAGAAGACATCCTCAGCTCATACCTAATGCATACTGAAAGGCCTCTCACAAAATGCAGTTGCAGCCACCGCTATCTGTCGAGTCTATGCGGTGATGCCTTTTATACTTTACATGAAGAATGTGAGGCCTAGACTCCTTCCTCTCCTCCCCCCAAGGAGATTCAAGGCCGCGTTTCCTACCTTTGAGAAAGTAACTGAGCTTTCCAGAGTGAATAAAGCGCAGAAAATAATTCAGGATTCACTGGGCTATACACAGACACTACAAGGTTTCTATGACCTGCCGGCCAGGATGCTCACAGGGAAGTGGGAAATCTGAGCTTTCCGAATAGGCTCCTGGTGTTGATTCTGTACTTTTTAAAGCGACTCAGGGTTACAAAATATGTATTAACCTGCAAGCGGGGATAGCAAGCCAGGACGACACCCTCTCAGACAAAGGTGCTGCCCGCAGAAGAATAGAAATCGTCTTTGGCAATGCCACCAGCTCTTCAGTCAGCTATAGGCAGCTCATCCAGTTTTGAGGTATCTCTGTCCCTAGCGCGGAGACACCCGCGATGACTCCTTGGCAAACCAGGGACCAGGTTCAGCCGGTCTCATCGCCACGCCGGAGCAGCTCCCCGGGAGCCAGCCCGTGTGTGCCCGGCCCGGGGAGAGGGGGGCAGCGGCCCGACGGCACGCTGACACCAGCCCCCTTGCCCAAAAGCATCCCCCCACGTTTTAAAGCGCGGGGCCGACC